AGAACAATTTACTTGGTTCCCTTTTAAAAAAGTGGAATGATTTGCATAGTTCTGAGCACAGTTGATCTTACTCAGGGGATCACTGGAAAACCTGAGTGGTTAGCCAGAGATAACCTTCGCATGCCTGAGTCAATGTGAAAAATGGACTAGCATGAGGCAGAGGTGTGTTACTGTGGCAACCTGCAGACTGATACCAAAACATTAAGTGTGTTATATCATGTATCATGAGCAGCTCAGGGGTGTTGCCCGCTGGTAGCTGCTCTCCTGTTTGTGTTACCATACCTGTTTGACAAAGCTGTGGGATGATACCTGTGTGGAATGAATGAGTTCACCAAAACATGGAGTTTCTGTGGTTTCAAACCCAGATAGCTGTCCAACTTTTACTCATTATATTTACAGTACTATCATTCAAATACAAAACTTTCCAGAACCCTATTCTTATAGAAGGGTTTGAAACATTTGAATTTTGCCTACACTTTAAGGTAATTCTACTTAGTTTATTATTCAGGTTTGTGTACTACTGTACTGCAGTGCAACAACAGATGGATGTTGACTTTTAAATCGAAATGCCAGAAAAAAAAAGGAAATATTCTACCACTTTCACTTTCATTTCATTCCTTTTTCAATGTATTTATTAAATAAATAACAGTTTGTTAATTTCTCTAATGTTAGATAGGAAGCACTTGGTGAATGAGGCAACTTGTATAAAGTGCTTTGAGTGCTCAAGAGGAGTAGAATAGTGTTATATAAGAATAGAATAGAATAGACGTATCCTTTATTTAATGTCCCTCAGTGGGGAAATAAGAACCAGCCCGGTTGTATATGTGAAACAGTAAATAGGGGGGGGGAAAGAAACAAATGTGTGTAAATAAAGTTGATGATGGATGATGGAGTTCTATAATTTTTATGATAATTTTTTTTATTTTTGGCAAAGCTTTAATAATATCTGTGTTTTCCTGTTCCCAGAACTACAAAGATCTCTTCAACAGAGGCCCAAAAAAACATGCATTGTGAAAATGGTTGGGACGAGGACCCTTTGGAAGAATATCGTTGTGCTCTGTGTCACCTCGTAAGTGGCTGTCTTAAAATGTAAAAATAATTCTGTGTTAAAGAATGCAAATCATTTAAATCAATTATTTGAAATGGTAGATCAGTGACATAAATCAAGAAGCTGTATCTTTATTTGTGTCTCTAACTTTTTCTGATAATTGTTCACCTTGAATTTGATGCTAGGATCATTTAAAAAGAGAGTTCTTATTTTAATACATTTTAACACTCTGTAAGCATGAAGCCAAGTGTGTGGTTATGTAAGCACAATGCTTTGCTTCCTTGATATAGGATTTCTGCTGCAGTTTGCAGACTCTTTTCTGGCATGTTTTTAGTTTTATAATGTAATGATTCACATTTTTCAGTCGGTCACAGTACTCGACTACAGGCACGCTGGTTTAGCCTCTGGACTCTTGTACTGCAGACTCATGCAGTTGTAATACATGTGTACTGTGTAATGAGCAAGTATTTCCCTAAAAAAACATGTGAATGGGGGCAATCATCTCTCCATAACCCATGTACTGTAATAATATACAGCGCTAACAGTGCCTTTGCAGATGTATATGTTTTCCATGCCAAGTGCACTAATGCCCTCTTAAAGCCTTTTAGATAATTGCTTTTGAAGTTTGGCGCAATAGTGATTGATTTAAAAAAAAGAATAAAAACATAGACGTGTATACCAGTAACAAGCCAATCACCCTCCTCTTTAACCCAAGACACACAGAAACATCATTTCCTGTTTCTAACATATGTTGTCTGATATACATAAAGTTCATTTTCAGTCCAGCATAGGATCCAATAAAGGGTCTGTTTTTTGCTTTTTACAGTGTATTCTGTCTTTTTGAGAACAGGGTTATATGTGTCAGTGTGCTAACAGGGGTGTGTGTGTGTTTGTGAGTGTGTCAGGATTTGAAAAGATGTATATAATACAGGTACTTGGAGTGCAATACCACTCAGACTTGCCATTTTGTGGAGTCAAGATGCCACTATTAACCTGCAGGCTGGATAGAGGATTGATCTTTAGCTGTTTCTTCTTTTGTCCTTCCATATTTGTGCTGCTCTCCCTTTTCATCTCCAATGAACTCTTCCTTCGATCTGAGATCTCATCTCTTGCCTGGCAGACCGAGCTCTACCTCTGCTTTAGTGCACAGTGTCCTTGATTCCCTGTTTGCATAAATTTTACATGAGCTTTGTCCTTATGAAACATTAGACAACTCGGAAGGAGGGTGTGAGGGCTTGCTTTTG